AGTAGGGATAGCAGATCACATGAAACAGGTTTCCACAGGCACGGGATGACCATTTCCAAACATTCTGTACAGGGATATCATAAGAATCTATCCAAGCCTCGCTTGAATTATGAATGCGAATTAAGCTGGAATATGCAAAAGACATTCAACAAATTGTCCGAAAAAGGATGGATCATCGAAACTATCCTTACCGATCTCATCCCTACAACGGTATAATTGCTTGGACCAGATGAGCTATTCGTTGTTTCAGTGTCTGATTGCCGCGGAAAATCACGGCCAGTATTGCCGGTCACGATAGCTGGATCAGATATTGCACGCGGAATCGTCTGGAGCCGCGGAGAAGACGCGTCGAGTGACGGCGTCAAATCAGCTACGGTTACCGCTGCCATACCATTGGCCAGCGTTGCCACCGATGACTGAAAAACAAGATAATGGTAATTGGTATAATATATATGACACGGTTTCGTCTTCGTGCGTTTTTGCTTTGCTGGTACAGCAAGAACAATAAAGCGGAATCGTCTGTCTATGCTTGCCTGTTTGTTTCATTTATATGCAGGCATGCGTATTTTTGGTACCGACACAATTTCATTAGGAGTGCTAGACAGATGTTTTTTTTTTTCGGAAGCCAACATTGCCTCACAGCCCTCGGTCTCAGGCTCAAATTTAACCAAATTTTATGAATAAAGGACTATAAAAGCAGGAGCTTGTTTTTAGAGCAATATTCTATTTTCAAGGCGGAAATCAACGCACTTCTTTGTTTCCTGACATGTAATCTCAAGGCCAAATTGGACTAATCAGAAATTTCAAAAAGAAATGAACTAGGAAATAAAAAGAAGTTAAAATATCAATTGCCTCTAGTAACATAAAACTTTTTCTATATTTACTCCTTTAGTCTTTTCTCACTGTTCCTGTTTCCTACTTTTCTCGTCTTCTTCTTTTGTCAATCCCAATTTGTCATTTTACATCATGACAGTTTTACTTTTATACATATTTCTCACAAGGTTTGGTTTATATATTATTCCGTTCTCTTTTTATGCGTTTTTGCATATACGCAAATTACAAAAAAAAAAAAAAAACGCGTATTGGCAAAAGGCTGTGTGTGTGTGTCTGTGTGCTCACACTTTTTGCCACCCACTTTCAACTCGAGAATCAGAAAAGCTAGAAGGCTGAAAATTTGGGAGTATTTGCCCACACCATGCGCGACCCCCCGTTTTAATATCATCGTCCGCCTACGCTTGGGTGTCGCGTATGAACGTCTTAAAAAAAAATACAAATTTTTTGGCGGAAAAGCGATCTCGAGAACCGGACAAGGTAAGGGGCTAAAACTTTGCAGGCATATTTCCTGTGTATGTATTAGCTTAAAATTTCAAAATCAGCCCCCAGGTATGCGTGATACACACGTAAGGGTGTATGGAAGTTTTGCCGGTAAAATTACTAACTCGAGAATCAGAAAAGCTAGAAAGCCGAAATTTTGGGGGAATTTTTCCTGTTCAAGTACAAATTACATATTTGAAATTCAGCCTTCAGGTATGCGTGGTCCTCACGTACGAACAAATGAAAGATTTGACGGGGAAACTGCCAACTCGATTACTAGAAAAGTTGGAAGACTGAAATTTTAGGGGGATGTTCCCTGTCCACATGCCATTTAGAGATTTCAAATTCAGCTTCTCAGGTACGTCGCATACACATGCACGGACATGTGAAAGTTTTGACGGGAAAATTACTAAATTAAGGACCAAAAAAGCTAAGAAGCTGAAATTCTAGGAGAATGGTCCTTATCCAAATACAACTTAAATATTTCAACTTCAACCTTAATGATTCTCACGTACAGGCACTTAAAAGTTTTGGCGGGAAAACTGCTCATTCATCAGCTAGGTTACTTTTAAAGATCAGTCGTTGAATGGAAATTGTTCATTTATTTCATGCAAAATTTATGTGATTTAGGCTAATGAATGCAGAATTTAGGTGTAAAGCAACAACCATTCATGCAGCTAATGACCAGCGTACTTCAAGTTTTGTGCAAAAGCACATGATCGCACCCGGCAAGCCTGGTAAGTTTCAAACTGGGTTTTATAAGCTCTGCCTTATACCAACCGGTGATCCATGTCATCGGAGAAATGAAAGTCTTCTTCCATTTGGAGCGCAGATTGATCAAATTCGGAATTTTAGTTATATTAACGAATGAACGTATTTTCTGTTTTCCTGGCGTTAATACCATGAATATTGTCTGCACAACTAGTGGGTGATACGATTTCGATCATAACAGTTGTGGTACTATTGCTATGTAACATAAAGATTT